ATGTAATTTTTTAAGGGGAAAAAGTTGAAAAAGTCACACAAAGAAAAGTCATAATATTTGAGGGGAAATCATAATTGGTAGCAAAAAATATTGAAATTTATGACCACAAAAAAAAAACTCCCAATAAAAAACAATATTTTAACAAAAAAGCCAAGAAGAGAGAAAAATACTTGACTCTTGTATAATGACTCAGTTTTTTTTTTTTAAATACTCAAAGTAGTTTAACTTTAATAATCTTAAATGCTCTATCGTTGGCAGCTGGACTAGAGCTTAGATTCTCTGCCCGAGCCCGACCCGACAAGCACGTCCAGCTTAGAGCTTAGATCGAGCCCAAAAAATTAGTTGGTTCCATAGCCTAGGTCTGTTATGAGGAGCCCAACCCGTCGTAAATTCCCATCACTATCCTCGGGCTCAGACGGGTCGGGCTCCTCATAACAGACCTAGGCTATGAAATCAACTACTTTTTTGGGCTCGATCTAAGCTCTAAGCTGGACGTGCTTGAGTTGCCTACGATATAGCACTTGAGAGTACCGAGGATCTTCACTGACATTTAACCAGTGTTTTTCATAAAATTCAACTTTATTCTGAATATATTAGGATTCTTTTTCCCCATATAATTACTTATTCTCAAACACTGTGATGTTTTTTCCCGTCACAGTGGCCATAATACTCTCATACATTCATCCTCAGTGTAAAACCAGATTATTTCCTCAACAGTTTGGACTCCTCAGTCCGTCTTCGGCCTGTCTTTGTCTCCGTCTCCATTCCCTCTCCTCTGTCGCAGGTAGACTCTGTTCGCTTTCCTCAGCAGCAGGTTGAACCAGTAGATCTGCGGAGCCAGGATCACCAGATTACCCACGTTGCACTGCAGAGGCAGGTGGAAGGCCACTCGGTGCAGAGGAATCCCAAACTGCCGTCCGTACATCCAGTACATGAAGGGGAAGATCAGGATCCGACAGGTGAAGAAACTCAACAGGACGATGATGCCGTTGATTCTGTGCAGCCTGGTGTTGTCGAGGCCCAGCTGGGTGTGAGAGGCACATGTCAGGGTGAAGAAAAAGAGAGACTGTGAACAAGATGACGGAGGAAGGAGAAATCCAACAAACTGTTCTAAGTAACAAAACTGAAACTGAGTCTGAAGATTAAGGAGGTTTTAAATTGGACTTTTATCCAACACACTTCACAATGAGCCTCTTATTTAAATACCAGTGGCTGGTCGGCTTGACGGCAGAGCTGTGTGCTGATGTCACCACTGGGAGTAATTTGGGGATCAGGGTTTCGCCCACTTCGACATGTGGACAGGAGAACAAGACTTTGAACCTTTGACTCGCTCTACTTTCTCCTTCTCCACCTCCCACAGCTGCCAGATTACTAGTGTTGAGTCACTGATGGGCGCCGTGCCCACAGGAAGTGACATCTTAATGTAAGTGTGAAACACTGTCCCTGACACTGGGCACTGAAATAGACTCAGATCTTTAAATATCCCAACATCCACGTCACTAGTGGCTGTGGAACAGTTTTATGGTTGTAAACCTCGTCCTCTCTCAAAGGCCTGATTTAAGGATATCGAAGCTGTACGTGTAGTTTACCTGGATGAGGATCTTTCCTATAGAGACGAAAGGCGTGCTGAACTCTGTGGTGAACAGGCAGCCAATGAAGAAGTCCCCCAGTCCCCGTCTGAAGAACTGCAGATCAGACACACCGCACAGTCAGGCTCAGTCAGACCCTACATACATGTGTGTTCACACCAAACCCACAGTGACTCCTCTCCGTACTCACCAGAGCGATGGGCAGGAAGACGAGAAGCAGCGTCAGATGATGGAGGACCAACATGCAGTCCTTACGGAGGAACGCCTTCACTGTCTGAAGAGAGTGGGCGCTGTATGAACTGGTGTGACCTCTGACCCTCTGAGTGTGGTAGTGGCTCAGATACATGGCGTAAATGTCGTAGGCCATGTAGGGAGCTCCGAACATGACAAACCCATTGACCAGCCAGTGACTGTCGGTGAGACAGGGAGCATTTCACTGAGTTAATTAATGTGCAAACATGTTGTTTTGTCACAAAAGCTTTAGATTCGCTGATTTTAACAATAATACATTGGATTTATATGGCGCTTTCCTGGATACTCAAAGACACTTTACGCAGAACAAGAGCAACAAAACAAAACAGAGAAAAAACAAAAATGAAATAATCTGTAAGAAGGGAAACAATGCAGAGGTGTGTTTTGAGGGATTTCTTGAAGGTGGCGAATGAAGGGGGATGAAGAGAAAGGGGCCGAGAACTGAACCTTGGGGAACACCTTGAGAGAGGGGAGCAGTGGGGGATTTGCAGTTTATGCCGATGAAAGAGAGGTAGGATCTGAGCCAGGAGAGGTGCAGTGCAGGTGGTGTTGAGAGCTGTTTCAAGGCGGGAGAGAAGGATGGAGTGGGTGATGGTGTCAAATGCTGCACTCAGGTCAAGTAGGATTTATTTCGCTAGTTCTAGTTAACTGGGTGAAGACTTATTCTTAGTGATAATACTTAAATATCTTAGTTATATTTACTTATAATGTTCATGTGATTCTCCTACCTGTCAGTCATGACATCCCTGCAGGACGTCACCACTATGACTCCAGCTGCTGTAGCCAAAGATGCATGGATGGCAGAAACCAGCCTGAAGAAACAGAGTCAGAAGAAAATTACCAATATGCACAAAAACCCGGAAAAGAGACCACACGAAATTCCATTGGAATATATTAGAATTTATAGTGTTTTGCTTATCGCAACCGATGCATACATCATAAAATATTATTTATAAACGTAACTCTCTAAGAGGTATATTTTGGTGTCTTCGGCTGTGATATCACACACATATGACCGAATAATCGAGTGAAATTCAAACTTTTCTTACGGCTCATAACGGCGTCTCCAATGTGCAGCGTATGTAACATAATGTAAGTGAATGAGGACTTTTCTTACAGAAACTTTACTGAAACGAGCCCATGGTTCGTTTTATTAGTGCCGAATGTACCGTCTCTTTATATAAACCACTACTAATTACTAAATAAATCTAAACAACGCATTTAAATGGACAGATCAATCAGACAACATTAAATTGACGCATTTCTTAAAGGAGTTTGGTGACGTGAATGACTCGGCCCGTGTCGGTGCTGCTGACCTCTCGCTGACAGAAACCACGTCGGCTTCACTCCACTGTGTGAAAGTATGTGTCAGTATTTTCCTGAAGCTGTAGAAAAGTCCTGGAAACACCACAGCTCCACAGACCAAGGCGGTAAACATGATCCTCTTCCTCTTTCTGTGGCCGCTACACCGCCCTGATCATCAGGTCTGGATCGATAACAGGCTGATCAGCTCCAGAGACAGCAGACTGAGAGTCAGCGGAGGACACTGTGGGACAGAGACTAATGAAACTCCGAAAATGAATGAAAACAGTCCACACTCTGTGACCTCTGAGTTTCTACATTGTTGCTCAACTTCCTCGTTACACGGATAAGTTTTGTTTAGAGGATTATAATTGGTTGGCAGAGAGGCGCTTTGAACCAATTGCAATGGTTGACCTCAAGTAACCTCTGCTCAATCCAAATAATGTGTACGGCATGCAGTAGGTATAAAGGATAAAATTATAGCTGCTGTGCAGCGATGCGTCGGGTCCGGGCATTTTTAGGCAATTCTGAGCAACCTCTGGAACCTAAGACGGTCATTTACCGCTCTGTGCTAATTGGCAAGTAGCAACTCAACAGTGGCTTCACAAACTGAGTAAGCCATTCACTGTTGTGTAGGAAAGCAGCCATGCTATGGAGCTACATTAGGGTCAAATGTTTTGTACTTGAAAAAATAAAATTTGAAACTGAAAATTCATGTGTTGATCTTGAATTTTGAAAAATACAACAATGTATTCAAAATAAAAATAAGTGTACGAAACGTTTTTTCAGGTTAAATATAATTTTGATTCACTTTGGTAACTCTTTTGAATGAATAATTTATTTTCACTTTTCACTTCCATATATATTTTAACATTTGAGGTCTTATTTTTTTCAGTTGCATGTTTTATCTTTTCAGATTCAGATCTTATTTTTTACAGTTTCAAATCTTTTTTTTTTCAGTTTCAAATCTTATTTTTTCAGTTTCAAACCTTTTTTTTCAGTTTCAAATCTTATTTTTTCACTTTCACATCTTTTTTT